GATAGTTGTGTGTGATACATCTGTGGAAGAGCACATGAGAAAGGTCTTGCTCTTTGTCTTGCTAATTCCTAGTTGAAAGGAAGGCTTATGATTTATAGGGTGGAAAAATGTGCTTTTTGAAATATGAAGTTATTTCTTGGCTTCAAGGTGAGTTACCATTTCTATGCATTTGTGTAAGTGAAATCTCAAAAAGATTTTTTTTATAACTTGTATTACCTGTTTACAGGAGGATATGTTAATGGTAACTAGTGTTGTTAAGACAAAGATCCTGAACAATTGTACTGTTCAGTTTTCTGATTAAAAGAATTATTATTACGATTTTGTGTAAGTGAAATCTCAAAAAAAAAGATTTTTTATAACTTGTATTATCTGTTTACAGGAGGATATGTTAGTGGTTACTAGTGTTGTTGAGACAAAGATTCTGAACAATTGTACTGTTAAGTTTTCTGATTAAAAGAATTATTATTAGGTAACACTTTTAGGAGGATGTTTTGATAAGAGGGACTCGGTGTTTACTTACCATTAAGTCTTAGGTGGAAGGAGAGAGGAGCAGCAAAATGGAACAGATGATTGTGCCTCGCTCTGTACACTCTATTTTACAGGTGTTTTCTCCTTAACCCAAAGAGGCCTTGGGTTGTGTATTGATTAAAGAAAGCCATAGTGTTTATTCACTGTCTGAAAGCTCCAAGACCTGTCATGTGTCCATTGAAGCCTTTTGAGTCAGGGTTACTTTTCTATTTGCAGCTTGCTTTTTAAACTGTTAAGTAAGGTACTTCAACTCCAGTGACTCAAATGTTGCCTAGTAGTTATCTGTGGAAAAAATAATACCAAATGTTGCTATATGCTCACCTTGAGACCTTCCAGTAGCCATGTGTTCAGGTACACCTATTTATTTTTCTGTCTGCAAGAAAATGGAAGCCTTTTGTGTTAAGTATTAAAGCCTGAACCACTTACTGGTCAATGTCTTCATAAGCCTGACCAAGGTTTGTATGAAATTTTAATTTTGAAATAGATGTGCATATTCAACTCTTGTCTAATGGATTCAAGTTAAAAAAAAATACTAAAAAATAAACCTAAAAAACAACACAACACTATATTACACACTCTCCTCCTTTTTCTAGGTATTAGTTCCTACCACAGTGTCTATGGTTGGAAAACACCTGGGAGTCAGAAAAGAACATCCTGGCTTAAAGAACAAAGAAAATGATGAAAACAGCGGTCCCACTACCACTGTTTTTGTGGGCAATATTTCTGAGAAGGCCTCGGACATGCTCATACGGCAGCTTCTAGCAGTGAGTACAATGGGCTGCTTGTTAAATTTCATCCCTCCCTGATGAATGGAGTAATGGCCAGAGGACTGAAATTGAAAACATAGTTAGTCCCACTCATTGAAGTGTCACTCCATCACACTTGAGTTTAACATCAGTCAGTGATGAGTACAGCTGTTTTTAAGCTGTAGATGTGAGTGAACATAGAAGTATTTTATTTTTAGCAGTGTTCACCCTTTTTACATCTCATCGTCTGTGAAAAGTTTAAGTTTTGTAAGTATGCTTTAAGTTTTTGTAATGTTTTAAACATAATATTGAATTTTATCCTTAATGCAGAAATGTGGCTTGGTTTTGAGTTGGAAGAGAGTACAAGGGGCATCTGGAAAACTTCAAGGTAATTGTTCATATTTTAAAAAATTTCTAGTCAGGCTTTTGTTTTTATTACCTGGCAGCTTTTCAAATGTCTGACATATTGCTATTCTGAATAATTTTACATTTTAAGATACTTAACTGCTAAATACTTCCTAGTAAAGGGCTAATATTTTCTGTCCTTGGGAGCAAAAAAATTAAGTTGAGTAAGGTTAAATGAGAAGATGTCTTGGGGGCCTACTTTTGCTCACCTTTCTCTTCTGAGACTGAATTGAGAGGTTATAGACCATCCCTGAGAAAAGTTTACCAGCTTGGACTTGGCCTCCAAAGGAGGCCCAGCACTGTTAATAGTCTCTGCCATTGCTCTGTATTATCCTTCTCTGCTAAGGAGGTTTTCCTGATGTAAAATTTATCTTCCTTCCCTATCATCAAATTGAAATGATCTATTTTTCTTGTGACCTTTCTCTTGGAGATACAGAAAACAATTTTTTTTTTTTTTTTAACTTTTTTTTCTGTTAGTGTTTTCATGTCTTCCCTAGGTGGTGGTTTAGGGGTTTTTTCCTTCCCCCATAACATCTAATTCAGTTTCCTCAGCTTTCTTATGTATCATACTTGGTTTATTTTGCTCTCATAAGGGGTTTTCTCATTTACAACTTTGTGTGACTGTTATGAAGAATGTAGTTTGAAATACCCTTCCCTCTAGGTTAACAGTGAACTGTTGATTGATATCCTTTGTCTTCAGGTGATTACAAATCCACCTGAGACATACCTTTATATAGGCTGCATTTCTTAGTTAAGACAGATGTGTCAAAAGATTCACAAACAGAATCATTTGGGATCAGGTTTGAATTGGAAGAGACCTCTAAAGGTCATCTAGTCCAACCTCCCTGCAGTGAGCAGGGACATCTTCAATTAGATCAGGCTGCTCAGAGCCCCATCCAGCCTGACCTTCAGTGCTTGCAGGGACGGGGCATTTACAATGTGTGTTTTGCTTCCACCTGATTCACTGGGCTGTTGGTTATATCAAAGATCAGCAAATGATCTTTCTGACTTCCAAGTGCCCCTGTTTCAAGTTTATTGATTCAAAACACTTCTTTTACACCAAGTAACACCTTTTTACACCTGAAGAGCTTTAACACTTCTACTTTTCCTTTCAATCATCCGCTTCAGCCTTTGGATTTTGTGAGTACAAAGAACCAGAATCCACGCTACGAGCGCTGAGACTTCTCCACGACCTCCAGATCGGAGAGAAGAAGCTGCTAGTCAAAGTTGATGCAAAGACAAAGGCTCAGCTAGATGAATGGAAAGCAAAGAAAAAGGCTTCTAATGGGGTATGTATAGAATGTGTGACTTGAGTAGTTTTGGCAGGAAGGCAGTGTAACATACTTGCTAGATCAGATTGTGTGTCTCTTAGTTTCTATTTTTGTCTCTGCCCTTAATTCATTTGAGGATTTTACCAGAATCATGTTAGTGAGTCTGAAGATATGTTGAAAGGCAGTGAAGTGTTAGCTCTTAATTCAGCAACATTCAATCTTATCTGTGGGCTACACCTGAATCTCTAGAATTTATTCTGTAATTCATTCTAAAGTGTAACATCTGCTATTCCTTTAGAATATAACTTTACAAATAATTATTACCCTGTAGGAGTCTGTAAATCAGCTTGCTGAGGAGAATCGGAGTTTCTTTCCCCTCCACTGATGATCTTTTAGAACAAATCAATGAAAATTAGTAGATCATTCAGTAGATGATGCAGTTATCAGGCAGTGGGCAGCTCACAGGCGTTTAGTAGATGGAGAAATTGCTTTTGTGCCATTTGTTTCTAGAGCTAAGGATCTGTTCTGGAATAATTGCAGATATTTGATGTGTTGAATTCCTGTGAGATATGCAGAGATACTTAACTGAAAAATTTGAGTTAAAATGAGTTTTATCTGTTTGCTAAAATAACATCTCATATCACAAGCAAGTTTGGTTTGGTCTCTAACTATTTTAAAGTTCTGAATATGCCTCAAGATAGTACTTAAAACAGTTATTGTCTGTAAAATGAAAGTAAGAAAGAGGCTCTTGTTTAGGAAGCTAAAAATACTCATCACATTGTAGTAGGTAGATTCTTAAAATTGCAATTTGGAACTGTTCTTAAAGGTACATAATGCAGTGGGAACAAAAGTACTTCTGTTTCATTTTATTTAATCAGATCTAAAGGCACAAAGATGACTTGAAGTATTTGAGATATTTTTGACTGTGTACCCAATGTATGGGATTGAATGCAATGGCTCAGTAAAGCAGAGTGGTAACTTCGTGGGGTTTGAATGGAATAATGTGCTACCTGTTAATGTTGGTAAGGGTTTGATTCAACTCCCTTTCCATTCCATACGTCCTTGTTTCCTGCTGGCACCACCTGTAATACTGTGCTTCACAGCTGATAGTCCAAACAAGCTTAAAGCTTCAGTGGAGTTCTTGTACATCTGTCATGATTTTTTTTCTGTGGGTTACAATCAGTCCTGGGGGCTTGATTGTAATAAAGCGGAGGGTGCTGTTTGTTGCTTTGGTGAAGTATGTGCTGATCCCCTTGTGAAGTGAGATTAGCTCCAAATAGTTTGGGTTGGTTTGGTTGGTTGTGGTGGTGCAAAGAAATGCTGTGAATTGCTGAGGAGTATTGATGAGGTGTATTGTAATCGTACTGCTTGCAATTCCTTTCTTACCTTCCTTGGTGTGCTGGTGCCACTCAGGTTCAAAAGTTGCAACTTCAATCTTTTTTGAGAAATCAAGCGCGTACACTACAACACAATCTCTTCTAGAGACATACCAAGCAGACTGTCACCTAATTAGCTCCTCTCCCTGATCACTATCTCTCCCTGGACCTCTTCAGTTCCACTCCCTGTCACTGCCTTCTAGCTCTTTTCAGCCTGCTCCTCCTTGGCCTGGCAGCCTCTTCAGCTCCAACTGAATCCTCCCTTCCCCCTCATTCTTAGCTGCTGCTCCATCAGACCCTTCCCTCCCCCTCACTCCACCCACCACCTATCGCTTGACGGGACACCCAGCTGGATTCTCAGGTGAGATTCCATTTTTCTAAAAGGTTGAGGGGATCAAGAGGTGTGGGCTGCCTTGCTCAGTGCACAGGTCATTGTTCTACCCTTTCATGTAACCTTTAGTGAAATGCACATTCCCTTTCCTCCCTACAAGGTGGAAAGAGGCAAAAAGATGAGGAACTACAAAGCAGCTGATCAACAACAATAAGAAAGCGTTTGCTTTGCAAGGAACATTTCTCCCTAACGATCTTTCTTTAATGTCATTCCCTCATTATACGTTGCAGCTTGAAAGTTACAGGTAGACATTTTTATTGCATGGCACTTAAGTAAAAGGCTTTGAGGAACTGCTGTTGAAATGACTTGAAGTTCTGGAGTACAAGGCAGAAACTTTTGACCAAGAGCTGGACTAGAGCGATCGCTTTTCTGCGAGCGTGCACGCGCTTTCCTTTTTCCTGTCTACAGCCTTAATCACTATGTATCTGTTCTGTTTTATTATGCAATCCTACTCTTGCTCTCTGCAGCCATTCCACATGTAAAACTATGTGGTCCTTATGGTATTGCCAGTGTGAAAAGATCTGACTAAAATAATGCAATTGATAACTACTTCTAGGTAGTTTGGGGCTTGTGGGTTTTTTTTTGTTTGGTGTTTTCTGGGTTTGTGGGTTTTTTTTATGTGGTTGGTTTGTTTTATAGTAAATGCTATAGGGGCATGAATGTGATGATCAAAGGTGAGCTTCTGAAACAAAACTAGTAAGAATATTAGTTTGTTGATTCTTCTTACTTTGCCATTTTTCCTTAGAACTCCAGACCAGAGACGACAAATGATGATGATGAAGCACTGGATGAGGAAACGAAGAGAAGAGATCAGATAATTAAAGGGGCCATTGAAGTCTTAATTCGAGAATATTCCAGCGAGCTCAATGCCCCCTCCCAGGAATCTGACTCTCACCCCAGGAAGAAGAAAAAGGAAAAGAAGGAGGACGTATGTGTTTTGATTTTGGACAAAACAGATTTTTTTTCTTCAACTCACCTTTATATAATGGCCAAACCTTGTGCAAATACTTTAAACCTAAACTTCTGATGAGAAAACAAATCAACAAGCATTGATGTCAGCAACAGTTTCATTTTTTTTTTTTAAGCTGAAAGCTAGTCAGTTATAGACACCATCCCTTCAGATGGTTTAGGCATCTAAGCACCTAGACTACTTGGAAGAACAGGTTTGAATCTGGGCAGGATTGAACCAACCTTTTATACCTCTGAAGGTGGAAATACTGTATTTAGTGCAGTTTAATCTGGATGTGCATGTAGGGTTTTTCAGATGAGAACTTTAAAAACAACTGTACAGAGTTCCTGCATACCATCCATTTCCACTGAAAGATGCCAGGGCACTTTTGTAATGGCAGGAATTTGCTCTGGTAGTTTTTGACAAAGTTCTTCTCTCTGCTTCAAGTACGCATTCTTGTGCGCCTTGCTTCAACTGGTTGCAGCTGTCTCCCCAGATGTGGGAGCACTTCAGTAATTGTATATATGTATAACCTCACAAACCTTGGAGGGATCCTTCAGGGATGAAAGGCATTATTGTAATCTTCCTGCCTTACAAAATCACTTTTACATGCATGTCTCAATTTGGCTGGATTTGATCAGCTGGTTTTCATATATCGTGTAATGCAAAAGAGCCCTTTTAAGCAGGAGTGAATGTTCTTGTTTAGGCCTGCTTCTGTGGATGACCTTTCTATGGATTAAAACAAACTGGAGAAGCGGGAATGAGAATGAGCCAACTCAGACTTGGCTTTTCCAGCCAAGTTTCTAACCATGGGAAAACAGGCTTTCACACCTACCATTCTGCACCTAATACGAAAAAGATTGGAAAATTGTTTGACCAAGATTTTTATCCTCTTAAGTCTTCTGCAAAGTACCTATTCCAAGGCAATAATGCAGATTCAAATGCTTATGGAGTTTGTGTGGTGCAAGCAGCAGCCTCCCTCAGGGAGCGAGTATATCTGCCCCACTACGTTGTTAGCCTTGGCCGAACTGAGGTTTAAGAGTGCTGAGCTGAGAACTTGTTTTTCTTTCCTCTCCCTCCCTTTGGGAGAAGATGGCGTCTTGGACGAGAATTTACCAATGAGTCACTGTCTAATGCTGTCAGCTGTATTTTTTTGGTTGCAAGTGTTGTTACAATGTATATTGTCCTGTGGGTACATATATATGGCCTTGGATAATGCCAGGTAGTTAAATGTTGTAAGGGACCACTGTAGTCTTGGAAGAGCTGGGTGCTGACTGTGTCCCTGGGACAGAGGGATATTCTGCTAGCTCTGTATGATGTATAATTTGACCAATCTGAGCTAGTAAAGTAGACAAATAAGCTCTTTTCAAATACATGGCACGTATGTGGCTTATACGTGGGTTGAAATTGCACCCGTCATCCCTCCCGTACTGGGAAGGAGGAAAAGAAGCTCAGAAGTTGCCACCTTTGGCCTGTGTGGATAGAGGTGGGAGTGAAGAGACAGTCCTAGCTCTCCTGTCCTTAAAGGAGAGGGGAGAGAAGGATGTGGAGGGTGGGGGGAAGGGGAAGGTGAACAGATACATGTTTGGGGGCGGGGGGTGTGGGGCAACTCGCCAGCTTTGGGACCGTCGTCCCCTGAACAGCTTGGTGTGAAGAAGGCTCTCGCTGGTGTTAGCAGCAGAGCCTGTTAGTTCTTCTGGATGAAGGCGTGACTGATGTGGGGGAGTTGGAAATGTGTGCGGGGAGCTGAGAGTGAGTGGGGTCTGGTTTTCAGTTTGAAGCACGGGGGAACCTCGCTAATTCGCACTAACCGTTAGTGAGGAGGTGCAATCTACCAAATTCTGCGAATTAGCGAGTAAACCGAGTCAAGACATACCCACTGCAAATGTACTCATCATCTGTATTGGCAAGTGTAGCTTAGTCTTGTTTCTGATGCTACCAGAGCGTACTAATGTCCTGTAGCACACTTGTGATTCAGTGAAGTCATGCTAATCTGAGACCTCACTGGGTATTTGAAGTAGTTCAGAGAAGGGAGAATTAGCGAGGTTCTTCTGTAATTTTGTTGAATCAAAGAATTGAGATCGCAGCAATAAGATATTGCCTTATAGTACAAAGATACAAAACATTGTTTTTCAGAGTAGTGTGCAATCTATTTTTAAAAAAAAAAATCTCCGTGGATTTTTCCGCAGATTTTCCGCAGATTTCCAGTGGCCCCACTGATACCTTATCCACTCATCACCAAGGTTCGTTTACATTGTAGGCTTTGACAATGACTATGTTTACTGCTAGTTGCCAGATTTGTGACTCTTGTCCATCTGATTTTTTTATTTTTGTTTTTTTTTTCACTCATTAACATCAGACTGTCAGGTTTGGTACTGCAGAAGGACTTTATTTATCTCTTGCAAGACTGGTTGAAAACTTCTAACCTTCAGCTTTTCTCTTGTTTTCCTGTGTCTGTACAGATGGCCCTTAATGCTTTTCCTCCTGTCCCCCTTGTTTTTTAGGAGGATATAAATGCTATAGAAATGGAGGAAGACAAAAGAGACCTGATATCAAGAGAGATCAGTAAATTCAGAGACACACACAAGGTAGTATTCTTGTTTTTGCACTTGATACAAATTAGGCTTTTTCAAAATCCAAAAAACCACTATTATAAAATTTAGCAGTACAATAAGCACTTAAGATGATGTTTATATTAGGTTTAATATACATAGAGTTCTTTTCAAGTCGAAAAAAGACAATTACCACGTTAAAGTGGCCCTTGACATCTTTATGCTAAGACTTTGGTTGCTACTGAGTATTTGGCAGTCTTCTCACTTTAACGTGAATAAAGGCAACTTAAGTTTCTACACATAAAGTCAAGCTATTTATAACTAAAGGCTAAAGGGGGCTGCAGTATAAGACATACACTTGAGTGTGTTTCTGTAGGTAGATTTGTAACATAATCCAAGATTTTATGAAGAGTTGAATTGAATTTAAGTCTTTTATTTTAATAGCTCTAAGTTAAGAGTGGGGGAAGATTAAGACTAGGTCAGTGGTTACCAGACTTACCAAACTTTAGATGCATGGAAGAACTGTAAATTCCCATAAAGCTAATCTATTCATTGACCCCCACCATTATGATAGAGATCATATGGTGACTAATGCAAGATGAAACTCACAGCTTGGAAAGTAACATGGAATAGGATGTAAGTATGAGCTTCTGTTTTTTTTATACTTATGGATGCCCCCTCAGAAAAATATGCAAAGGGGTAACTGGCTTGGAAATGTTTGTGCACATCAAGTCCCACCTCAGGGTTACCACTTACAGAAGTTTCCACTAATGCATCTGTGAATAATTCTGCTTTGGAAAATGATACTTGCGGATAGTAAAGCACAACTATGCATGTAATGGTCTTATTTTAATGTTTAGCTTGAAGTTGGTATTATTTTTTTCCCCAAACAAGACTGAAATGGCCCTTGCCCTAGGGAAGTCTCAGCAAGCTCCTCTTCTGAGCGCACACTTTTCTTTCAAAATACTCCCAGATCAATGTTAAAGAAAACGTTGAAGGTACATCAAGGTGAAGTACGCCCATTTTATTCAGCTTTACCACGTGCAGTGGCTGGGGATGGTGCCACATTTTCACACAACTGTATCAACGTTAACAGAAGTGAATACACATTGTTGTATATACACGTATTTGGTTTTTCTCTTGACTGAAGTTGTTGGAGATAAAAACATGGGGAAAAATTCTGGAAGAAATCATCTGGAGAAGCTCAGCAATTGAATGTGAAACTGGTCAGTGGTGAAACTTCAGTAGAGCTGTGTTCAGTTCCGAGCCCCAAGTTGTCACTGGTACTAAAATGCAAACAAATAATACTTTTTTAAAAAACAACAACAAACAAAACAAACTAAAAACATGCTTCGTTGTTTCAGAAGCTGTTGGGCATTTTACTGCCTTCAATCTGTGCTATTGGGGGCCTATTTTGGGTTTCTTAAAAAAAACTGAAAGTGATCATTGTGTATATTGGATATGTTGAAAAGGGGCTGTTGAATCTTTAGCAGCTGGCTAGTGAGCACAGTGAACCTTTGCATGTTTTTGGTATGAGTTTATAAAACAATAACCACAGACTGTCAGGGTATCAGCATTGCAGGGGGCGTCCATTTACAGCACGGACGAGTCTGAAGAGAGCTCAAGGTAAGATTTATAATTCTTCTACCTGTTCATTTCTGTTCATTACTTCAATTTATACGATACCGTTCCCATCCCATTACCCTTTCAGATCCTCTTATTTAGGCTGATAGAAGTTGAGGTCAGATTTTGATTACAAAATAGACCAATTTGGTTTTTTTTCAATTGGGTTTTAAGAAAGCAGACCTAAAAATGGATTCTAATAACACCAAGACCTCTGTGTGTGTATTTATATATTTACACCTGTGTGAATATATTTAAAACAAACAAACAAAAAACCCAAACCACTCTCTTGAGAGTTCTCACCATAAACAAAGTTTTTTGAGAGTGGCCAAAAGCAGGAGTTCAACCAAAGAAATTTCTATTGGAACATCTAAGATAACCTGTAAGTATCAACCACTTCAGTATGTAAACTTTTCTTTAATAGTATATGAAATTTGAGGTAAGTTGGATTTTGTAAAGTTAACAACCTAGTTTAACATCTGACTGTACTTTGGTTTGACACTGTAAAGCTCCTGTAAAATACAGTCCTGTAGAAACTGATTTTCAGCTCAGTGTATATTGCAGAACCTAAGTTTGGGGTTTTTTTTCATATCAGTTTTCTACCAATTCCTCCCATTTTTAGTCCCTTTTTCCTTTTGTGATTTCAATGTATCCAACATTGGTTTGCCTGTATTGTGCTATCAATGCAGTGTAGTTTCACTGGATACATTAATCACTAGTGAATTAGCTTTATTTCTGTAATCCTTTGTCGGTTCTCTGGTCCCTGTGCCTATGGCAGAAGAACACTTACAGGTAAGATTGCTTTTTAAAGTTGTCTTAAATGCTTTGTTTAAAAGAAAAGAAAAACAAAAACAAAACCAAACCAGAGAAAATGCTGTTTCATTGTTCCAGTTTTTAATTTCATTTCAGTGATGGTAAATGTGGAGCCAAAGGGGATAAACCTGTTTATTCTGTTCAATATTTGTTCAGAAAAAAGTGGTATTCTGGCATCCATCAGGTTGAAATTTGGTGTATTTGGTTGTTATTTGGTATATTTGTGAACCGTGTACTTGCTCTTCCTCCCAGAAACATAGCTTATAGGCAAGGTTAATCCAGTGTTGGCGGTCCATGTCCTAGCACAGCATCTGTAAGTTAACACATAACAATTGCTTCCAAGGATGGATTTATCTATCATTCTGTTGATGTATTTTCTATTGTCTTATAGGAATTCTGGTCATAGGAACTGTTTCTAATTGGAAAAAAAAGTGGCAATTTTGTTCAATTTTTAGTAAAACTGTAGCAGGTAACCCTTTAGTTTCTGTGTTTCAAAAGAGCTATTTCCAACCTTTTTTTAACTCTCTCCATCTTACAGTGGTGGAAGTTAAGGATTCCATTCTGCAGAGTCCAGTTCTTACCAATGAACTGTTAGAACTTTTTTAGGGAGGGAAAAGGGGAAAGGTTGCAGCTCTCTTCAGTGTTTAACCATATGCACCACGTGTAAGTGGATCAATTTCTTTACCCAAGTTTTCATACAGGACGGTCTTAGTCTGCCCAGGCTTTTTGGGAACCAACTCGCTGTCCCAGTAAGCATTCCACTGAAATATATTTTCCTAGTTGAACAGAGTTAATTTGATCAGCTAGGAGTTCACTTTGCTTGTACCCAAGTGACTCACAGGGCCAGTGGAATCTGTGGCCCTCCTGAACAGTGACTGGCAGTGCACGGTGTATGTGCAGTTTAGTCAGCTTACGACATGAGGCCAGCCCTGCTCTGCTAAGGTTGGAGATCGCTGGTCTGTGTAGATCTATGCTTTTGCACGAAACTTAGTCTTGTGATTGCTGCATTTTGATTTCATACTTATGAGTTCCAAAACTACCCACCAAACCCTACTTAATATTTGAAAATCAGTGGCGGTTTTGGTTATTTCCATTACCAGCCTTGTGTGTCGCGCCGGGAATGCCCAGTTCCTGTAACTACAGAATTAACTATGAAAGTTCTCTTGTTGGTTTTTAGAAACTGGAGGAGGAAAAAGGCAAAAAGGAGAAAGAAAGACAGGAAATTGAAAAAGAACGCAGAGAAAGAGAAAGGGAACGGGAGCGTGAACGAGAAAGGAGGGAGCGTGAAAGAGAGAGGGAGCGTGAACGAGAGAAGGAGAAGGAACGGGAGCGTGAACGAGAGCGAGATAGGGACCGGGACCGGACGAAGGACCGGGACAGAGACCGGGACCGGGAGAGGAGCTCGGACCGCAACAAGGACCGGAGCAGGTCGAGGTAACGGCGTCTCTGTCGCTCTTCAATTTGGCTTTTCCTCGTGCTGTTGACTGAGGGTGGATGTTTCAGCAGGTGACCTGCCGTTCAAGAGAAGGAATGGGCCTTCTGGAAGATCAGAGCAAAAATGGGAAATCAGCATTTTAGATGATGTTGTGTTGACACAAACCGGAAGAAAGTTTGATTCCCTCCTGTCATGGTTTAGGGTCAGGCCTTTTCCCCCCCCCGACCTGTAACAGATGCTGTCTGTTAACCCCTCTCCCCCCTAAAGGGGAAGAGAAAAGGCACAAAGGAGAGGACTTATTGATTAGAAAAGCAAAACATCTTTAATGAAAATTACTAATAATAGTAATAATAAAATGGAACGTATACAAATATATACAAAACCAATATTGAACCCAACTTCCCCCCATCCCCCATGGCAATATCACCATCACCCCTAGTTCTGGGGAGCAGCCTCTGGGGAAAAGTCCCAGACTGGACTTGGAGGCAGAAGGCAGCTGGGTACAGGAGCTGGGTTCTGGAGCCTGGTTCAGGAACACACAGCTTGAGATCAAAGGCAGAATGGACAGAGCCCTCCTCAGATCAAAGATGTACTGGCCATCGAAGGAGCAGCAAAAGGGAGGAAGAAGGCAGAAGGGCTTGACTCCCGTGATCCTTCAGCTGAATATGAGGGATATAGGATGGAATACCCCTTTGGTGAATTTTAGGGTCACTCGTCTTGTTGCAGGGTGCATGCAGCCTTTACTCTCTGCCCACCTTGGTGTGGTACACAGGATTCAGCAGTGACCTTGGTCTGCACACCAGTCCTTGGCGGTAGCTCTGAACATAGAGCGTTATCACTGCTAAAAGCAAAAATAAGCTGCTAACGTCAGAAGGTGCAGTAAATTACAAGAGCTTTAGCTGAGAAGTAAAATCACTGAACAGAATTAGTTCTGTTCTACCCCAAACCAGGACACTTCCACAGCACAGGAGTAGAAATACAATATGCAGTAAGGAACCACCCAGCCCTGACTTTAGCATATTGGTTTTACCTCAAATTCCTTAAAAATTTTTTCCGTTAGTATCTTTATTCCTGCTTCAGGTTCTCCTATGTCTGTGCTATCTTTTAGTTTAAGTAGGTTTTATGTTTACCTTTATGTGGGGTTTTCTTTAGTTTGTTTTGGGGTTTAATAAAAGCAAGAGTATTCCTGTTTCAGTCTTAAACTGAGACTAACGTCAGGCTCTATGCTGCCTTTTCCCTCTCTGCCATAGAAAAAGTGGCTGTTCTAATTTAAATCATCTTGTCAGTAGGGTTCAGGTTGTCTCTAAGCCATGTGAACAGGAAGGATTTATTAAGCATATGCTTTATTTGTGGAATTTTTACCTGTCATTTATGGAGAATTACTGGCACAGTCTGACAAGAGCTGCCATGTGTTCACACCCAGTGTCTGTATATATCACTATTTAACAGTTAGTGCTCAAACTACTTTTAGGTTAATGGGTTTTGCATATATTTGAAGTATGATTTATGTCTATGAAAAAAAATAACTTGCGAGATGCTGTAAATAGCGCATTATGCATTTGAAATGAAATTGTTTGGGTGGAGAGGAAGGCTCGGGACTTAACTTTGGACTTTTTTCCTTTCTTCAGAGAAAAAAGCAGAGATAGGGAAAAAGAGGGAGCGGGAGCGGGAACGGGAGCGCGAGCGGGAGCGCGAGCGGGAGAAGGACAAGAAGAGAGACCGGGAGGAGGATGAAGAGGATGCCTACGAGCGCAGGAAACTCGAGAGGAAGCTGCGGGAGAAGGAGGCTGCCTATCAAGAGGTAGGTTGGTGTTTTTAACCTTCCTTAAGGAAAAAATTGTTACTGAGGGATGATAGTAAGCGCTCTGCTATAAGATACGATTATTATCCCTCTCCTTTTCCCAAGTGCGTTTTTAATCCTTTGACTGTGTGAACTGGGGCAGAATATATAAGTCACTGTCAGAACAATTTCAGACTTCTTATTCCGGTGTTTTAAATTATGCATAGGTAATTTGCTTGATTTTAATGCAGTGGATATTAAACAGTAATTGAAACTAACTTCAAAGTAGTATCACTGTTCTTAATGTTCTTGATATTGGAGTGTGGTTTTTTTTTTTCTGTTTAGCGTCTTAAAAACTGGGAAATCAGAGAACGGAAGAAAAGTCGAGAATATGAAAAAGAGGCTGAAAGGGAAGAAGAAAGGAGAAGGGAAATGGTGAGGCTTCTAGTTCTACTTGTGATTCCCCCCCTCCCCCACCGTGTTCGTTAGGTCACATTTAGAAGGGAACATTCTGCTGCTGTTTCTGTACAGCTCTTGTTTTGTATAAACACCTTGTGTTTTTTTATACAAAGCAAAAGAGTTAATAGACTTGATACAGATGATGTCTCATAAGTGGGAGTACTATTGATAGTCTGGGAAACAGAGCCTGGTGGCTTGGTCTTGTGAAGGCAAAAGAACAAGAAGTAGGCAGCTGCAAAATGCTGTGGTTTGATCATCATTCACTACTACATTTGTAACATCTATTTGTGTCAGATATGTAGCAAAACCTACCCTATGTTTTATGCCATGCAGGTGGATCTAGACAAGTCTTATTACTTCCAACCTGCTAGTGTGCCTGAACCTTCCATAATGTACAATAGAATATTCTAGATCTAAGGATTTTGTCTGTCTTAAGTTCACTAGTTGTGAAATTATCACAGTTATCAATGTAAAGCTTGGAAATTTTGTGCAGAGTTACGTTTTTGGAAGACAGATACTTCTGTAATCTCACAGTTTTGTGCTAAGGCATTATGAAGTTATCTTAAATTACGGTGGTTGTATTTTACTTCGTAATTCTCCCGGAGGAGGAGAGAAGATACAGGACAGATCTAAGTAGGAGATAGATTGGGAATTGCTTCAAAGCAAAATACAGCAAGAAACACAGCCATTAAAAAAAAAAAAAAAAAGGGTGGAGCTAATTAGAAAACACATTGGTTTAGTGGAATCTAATTTTTCCCCTTAAATGCTTGAGAGGGAAAAAAATATTTGAGAATGACTCATAGGATATTTTCTACTAATGCTCTTCCTGGATGCTGGCTATAGATGGCAGTTACAGAGAGCAGTCTGACCTTTTCTGTTGAATTTACAGCTGTAGTCGTATTTTGTTTCTCAAAAGTGATTAGCATAGAAACATCTTACTGTTGGTTTAAAGATATTGCTTGGATACAAGTTAGATTATCCTAATTTATGTTCTCCTTAAAGAACTGCTTTTTTTTGTTCTTTTTTTTTTTTTTTCCTTTTTATCAGGGCAGAGGGGAGATCTCCTCTCTGCCCCCCAGCCCTCTTCTTCTTAGGCCTGTGCATTAATGTACGTGGTTTGGATTAGTAACACAGCAGGAGAGTACTTATCCTAGAAGTATGTTAGGTTTGTTTCTGTGCATAACTAAATCTTTTTTAAAAAGTACAGCTCTTGAAACAAAGCAGTACTGATAAAATACACCTAAGCTGCCATGTACAGACATCCAATACCAGGCTTACAGAGTAGAACAGGAACATTGATCCTCCTCTGTTATGATGTTTAAAAACAAACAAAAACCTAAACAAACCAACCAAAAAAAAAAAAATGCCAAAACACAGGGGATGTATGAAGACCCTCGGAAATGCTTATAACAGAACAGTAGTCTGCGAATCAGAGACATGATCCCAGTGAACCTGCTGGATATATTGCCTGCTGTTGAATGTACAATAGCAAGGTGACAGATCCCTAGAAGATGATGCAATTCCAAAACCTTTCCATTTTCTGTCTGGAAAACTCTGTACTTTTAGTTTGAAGCTTAGCAGAAATAAACTTACATTGCTAAATTTTAAGCTCTCAAAGAAAAACAGAAATAATTTTATAACATTACTTCAATTTCTTCCAGGCAAAAGAAGCCAAACGGTTAAAAGAATTCTTGGAAGATTATGATGATGACAGAGATGATCCAAAATACTACAGGTATGTCTTTGTATTGATTCCTAACAATAAAATCCTCCCTGTTCATATTAACACAGTTGTGGAATTTGTTGCCAGAGGTTTATGTAGCTTATATTTGACTGATTATTTGGTGATGTAAGGCTCATATAATTATCTAAATTATTTCAGCGGGGGAGACTCCTTGGTGCTACTTGTTAATGCTTGGGAGTAGCTGCTCCTTCCTATCACTTAATTTGTGGGTAAGGAAGAACAGAGGTCAGTGTAATACCAGTACAGTGTGGTGGGGGCAGGAGAAGGGATCAAGCAGGCCTCTGAAAAAATTCACTACAAAGAAGCTGTAAATGGTACAGAGAACAAGTTTAACTCTGTAAAGGATGAGGAAGATCCTTCAGCATGGGGCTAACTGAAACTTAGATCAAGCTAAATTAGTGGAACTGGTTCTTGTCAAGTAAAAACATGTAAGATAATTCTATTCTTTTTTAAGAAGACAGGCAGTCACATTCCCTACATCCGTTTGATGTGATGGGGTAAATTCTGTAAAGTAAGGTTGGGAACTGGTATCTTATATTCTTCTGTTAGGAAAATAGAGGACACCAGGTGCTGTGACAGATCTTTTCATTTACTGGGAGATACATCTGTATTGGGTATTTCTTGTATTGTAGTACAAGGTTCTCAGTGGAATGCTCTTTGAAGTACAAAATCTGTGTCTTTTGTAGGGGTAGTGCCCTTCAGAAGAGGCTACGAGACAGGGAGAAGGAGATGGAAGCAGATGAACGGGATAGGAAAAGGGAAAAGGAAGAACTAGAGGAAATCAGACAGCGCCTTCTGGCAGAAGGACACCCAGACCCAGATGCAGAACTCCAGAGGGTAAGTAGCTGTTGGTCTGACAGGGGAAAAAAAAAATCCCTTGGTATTCTGGTGGAGTTGAGAAAAATTGTGTAACAGCTCTGATAGTTAATATTTCCTCTGTTCACTTTTTTCTTAAAAGGAAGTCCAGAATTAGCAGTAAGAACACTGGAAACAGAAAAAACTTGCCTAATCTGTTTGGTGTGCAAAACCAAATTTTGATTAATCACTATTTCTGGTTATGATGGCAGTAGTTGCATGTGTTTCTTCTTGACTGGCAGAGGCTTCTTCAGGAAACACAGGATCTTCAGATTCTTTTCAGAGGGTGCTGGTTTTGAAGAAATAAAAATAAAAATTAAAAAAAAAAACAACCCACATGTTTTTTTAATCTTTCTTTTTTACTACTCGTCCGTTTCATTATAGATGGAGCAGGAGGCTGAGCGGCGCAGGCAGCCACAAATAAAACAAGAGCCAGAGTCTGAGGAGGAGGAGGAGGAAAAGGCAGAAAAAGAGGAGAAAAGAGAAGAGCCAGAGGAAGAGGAGGAGGAGCCTGAACAAAAGCCCTGCCTTAAACCGACTTTACGACCCATCAGTTCTGCCCCATCTGTTTCTTCTGCTAGTGGAAATGCAACCCCTAACACGCCTGGTGATGAATCTCCCTGTGGCATTATCATCCCTCATGAAAATTCACCTGATCAACAGCAGCCGGAGGAGCATCGGCCCAAAATAGGACTTAGCCTCAAACTGGGCAAGTTTCCATTTTATTTTTGTTCCAAACGGGATCAGAATGAAAAAAAAGGCCGAGCTGAGTAGCCACACAGTTTGCTAAATATATTGTATCTTTTTACTTACTTGTATCAAGCTGCTGTTATCCAGATGCTGTGTTTGATTTCTCCTATACAGAAGATATGTTTTATAGATAATTCTTCTTCCAAAATTGGGAGGGGGAAAACAGGAGGGAAGCTTTGGCATACTAAAGGCTTAATTTTTTTAGGAATGCTCTGAGCTGGATTGAACTATTTTAACATGCTTTTTCACCTGAATAGATCTCAAAATGTCTTTTAAAACTCATCTCTACTTTGCATTGATGTAAGTGTGTGTTAGATTTAAGCCCTAGATTGTTCTTATATTTTTTTACAAAGACCCTTTTTTAAAAGAAAACTGAAAATTAGATTTTTCCCTTCCTCTTAGAGTGGCACAATGGATTGATGATAATTGCAAATGGAATGTGAGTGTAGAATTGCTTAGTAAATTAGCAGTTTCCTGGTGGCGTTAAAAAAAAATTGTTCTGAGCAGCAGAACTAAGGATATTTGTATTCCAGAAAGTTTGTGCATTTGTTATTAGTTATTTTTATTAAATTATACTGGGGCTGCAGTGGGAGCTCAGAATGTATTGGACCTGGATGAAGAGAGGCTGTATGGTGTTAGGCTGATCAGTGCTGTTCCTACAGCTAGATTCATTGCAGCCTTTCACTTCTGTGCTCTGCCTCCGCTAAGGTTTGAACTCATGCTGCAGACCTCCCTCAGGTGCTAGCTGGTTTCAGGGCAGAGAGAATCACAGACTGGTAGGGGTTGGTGGGGACCTCTGGTGATCATCTAGTCCAGTAACCCCCTGCCAAGGCAGGTTTGCCTAAAGGAAGTTGTACAGGTTCTCATCCAGGTGGGCTTTGAAAGCCTCCAGAGAAGGAGACTCCACAACCTCTCTGGGCAGCCTGTTCCAGTGCTCTGTCACCCTCACAGGAAAGAAGGTTCTCATGTTGAGATGGAACTTCCTGTGTTCTAGCTTATACCCATTATTCCTTGTCCTGTTACTGGACACCACCCAAAAGAACCTGTCCCCTTTTTCTTGACACCCACTCCCTAGATATTTCTAGGCATCAATAAGAACCCCTCTCAGCCTTCTCTTCTCAAGACTAAACAGTCCCAGTTCTGTCTTTCTGCATAGGAGAGATGTTGAGGTCCGTTAATCATCCTCTTAGCTCTCCATTGGACCCTCTCCAGTAGATCCCTATCTTTCTTGAATTGGGGAGCCCAAACCTGGATACAGTATTGTAGAGGAGACTCCCCAGCCTCTCTGGGCAGTCTGTTCCAGGCTCCACCACACTCACAGTAAAGAGTTCTTCTTTAGGTGGAATTTCCTGTGTTCCACTTTGTGTCCATTGCCCCATGCCCTACCACTGGGCACCACTGAAAGAAGTCTGGCCCCTTTAGTTATTGATAAGCATTGATGAGATCCCTCGCAGTCTTCTTCAGAAGTCGTTGTCTGTGCTAAAAAGCCCCAGGTCTCTTAGCCTTTCTTTGTGAGAAAGATGCTCCAGTCCCATCATCATCCTCATAGCCATCCATTGGAAACTCTCTAGTAGTTCCCTGTCTCTATTAGACTGGGGAGCCCAGAACTGGACACAGGTGTGGTCTCACCAGAGCAGAGTGAGAGGAGTAGAGGAGGAGGAGAAGCTCCCACAACCTGATGGCCACGCTCTTCATGCACCCTTAAGAAGACCCTATTTTTCAAAAATCTTTTCACAAACTGTTGGAGATCTTTACCTCTTCAGCCATTTTTATAACAGAGGTTGAGAGATGAAAATGCTGATATGAGGCATTCACAGACACTTAAGTGACATACAAACTGATATTCCTCACAGAATGTGTGAAAAGCAAACTAGCTTCACTTGCAGTTTATGACTCTGTTATTCTGTCTTCTTGGCTGTAGGTGCCTGCAATAGTCCTAACCAGCCCAATGCTGTGAAAAGGAAGAAGCTTGCTGTGGATAGTGTTTTCAATAAATTTGATGATGAAGACAGCGATGATGTGCCCCGGAAGAGGAAACTTGTACCCCTGGATTATGGAGATGAAGATAAAAGCAATATCAAAGGCAGCGTCAACACGGAAGAGAAGCGAAAACATATTAAGAGTCTCATTGAGAAGATTCCCACAGCAAAACCAGAGCTCTTTGCTTATCCTCTTGACTGGTCAATTGTGGATTCAGTAAGTTGTTTTCTTTTAATCATTCTTAAAAAAGCATAGTTTTTCCAAACAAACCTTGGAATTGAATAGAAGCAGCAATGTTCATGGGACCCCAGGGTTTTGGAGCATTGTCATCAAATGGAATCAGGCTTGAGCACTGTATTTCTTGTCCCTATATAATTCTTCTCTGAAGCATGCCTGCATGTTTTTGTTTGGTCTCTTCTGAGTTGTTCCTCCAAATTGTGTAGCAGTTTTACAGAAGGGGGTCAAGGTCCTGTAAAACCATGTTTGAATGGTTGTCAGAAACACTTGCAGATGCCAAATGACTGAGGGTTATCTCATTGATAGCAAAACATATCTTGTTTAGGTCTTCCAGCTGCCCCTGGCAGTATGGTTTCAAGACAGGAAAGTGTATGGAAATTATGTTTTTGTTTTTTTTTTCATTTTCCAGACACTAATGGAACGCCGAATTAGACCATGGATCAACAAAAAAATAATAGAATATATTGGTGAAGAAGAAGCCACGCTAGTTGACTTTGTTTGTTCTAAGGTTAGTAGCTTCCACCTCCATTTGCTCCTGGTATTGAAGGCAGTCTGGTTTTAGCTTCTCTGTGAGCTGTGATACTGGTGAGCAGAGACAGCTTGTGTACTTTGAATCACTCTGTACCCTCATGTTTTACAAGTTGCCTCTTTTAATGCTGATGCACAACATGGATGTGCTGGATGCTCTGTTACCATTAGATAAATATGTGGAACAGGGCAAAGAAGTGAGCAGCTGACAAGAGCAGCTGTTTGAACTGATAGATTTATCTGATTTCAGAGTTAATATCTCATTGACCATTAGAATTTTTAACTTAAAAGGATTGTATGAATTCAGGGGAAAAAAAAAAAACACTAGCTTGATTTTTACATACATTTAGGATCACTATATTAAGTTCTTTGAAAGCTTTTAGAAGCTGTTGTTGCTTTAGTAGTAAGCAAATACTGAAGTTTTAGAGTTTGCATTAGAAGACCTTCTGCTGTACCTTTTAGCTATTGCATGACTTATTTAAGCTAAACTCTGCATAGTTTTTTCCATCAAATCACAAACTAAGTTCTAATAACTGGTTTTAGATCTGTGACGTCAACTCTTTGACATTTCAAGAACAGGGAATTTTAAAACCTCCTTTCAGCTTTTGTGGTACTCATGTTCATAGTGACTTATCTTGGTTTATCTTCTAGGGCTACCATATGAGAGGCAAAGCAAGTGATAGTTTTTTGGCACAGGTGGTTAGCAGAAAGTCGAATATTTGCCAAGCTTAATTTTTTATATATATTAAAGAAAAAGCCATTTCCTGGTATTGAAAGACAACTTACTTGGTTTGGGGGGAGGGGAGGGGCGTTGGGAAACAACAAAAGAAACACACACACACAACATAACACAACCCAAAACAAACTTTTAACTGGTGGATGGAAAATTCAGTTGCAAGGAGCGATACAAGAATTTTGCCTGTCTTCCATTAGGAATTCATTGTTGAAGGAAGGAGTGCCTATTCCTTAAATTAGGAGACCTTAATTAGAGGTGCAAGAGCAGCCAGCAAATACAGGACCTGTTGGAATCTCTGTGGCTTGTTCCTCGACTAGCCATAAACTAACACTCACTTATGATAGAATCTCATGCAGTTTAATACTAACTTTTGCCCTGGTTAATACTAGGAGGTGATGAACAGCAAATACTTTTTGCCTGTGCAAAGCATTCAAAATCCTTGAGATGTAACTTCGGGTTGTCTTTGTCCAAAGATGCTTATATGGTTTTCTTCTGAGTTTTCAGTGTAAAAACCTTTGTTTCTTTCAGGTTATGGCTCACAGCTCACCACAGAGCATACTGGATGACGTTGCCATGGTAAGCAGAAATTGTGTAACTGATACACTTTCTACATTATACTGAAGCTAATAGTCAATTCTGCATTATAGTAGGAGTCCATAACAGAAATGTTTAGTGTTCATAGAACATGCATAGAAAGTGTGTTAGGTGTGAATGAGTTTTGGACTAAACAGGTGAAGCTAGGACAGGCGTGGCTTTGCAGCTACAGCAGCTAGGTAGAAATCACTGATCCCTGTTCAGAATGTCTCAGTGTTCAGGAATGTGGAACAAAGATTCTGTCCCTAACAACAGAGGTAAGAATCAACAATAAATCAACCGTGTCAGAAATACAAACTTTTATTCCTTCTCATTCTTGTAACTAGATTTTTATAATTAACCATTTAGTGGCTCTGCTTTTAATGAACAAAAGGCGATTTTTCTCTAGAAGAGTAAAAGCTCTGTTTTGCCAGGTGTTGGAAGAGAGAAACTTTATGAAATAATGCTACTGTTTCACCATGTTTTCACACACTGAGAGGTGAATAAAAACTGTACTCTCTTCCAGTAAAGAAACTTGGAGGCAAAGTTTATGGGAGCCAAATTCCCAGCAGAAGTTAGTAGGTTGTTGATGGCATGGCTAGTAGATCACCTGGGAATGTCATGAGATATGTGCATGCTAACAGTCTGCATGAATTCAAGAAAAGCCTGGATAATAAGTTCAAGGAAGAGAAATCCATCCAGGGATCAGTTAATAAATAGCCAAGGAAATTCCAAGCTGAAAATGAGCAGAGACTAGAAGAGAGCTAAGGGAAAATACCACATGTACATGTCATGTTCTTAATGATTCACAAGCCTACCACTTCTCTGCCTCTTCCCAAGCAAGAGCTGCATTATACAAGTTGAGCCTAGTCAAGTCAGGTGATAAAAGCAGTTCTATCCAGTGCCTCTCAAAGGCTTGATGTGGTTTACACTACCTCCACTTTGTAATTCTGATGTGTCTAGAATTTATTACTGGAATGCCTGACCTAAAAATAATCTGTAAAATGTGTATTTTCTACAGGTACTAGATGAAGAAGCTGAAGTTTTCATAGTCAAAATGTGGAGGTTGTTGATATACGAGACAGAAGCGAAGAAGATCGGTCTAGTGAAATAAAGCACTCTCCTTGCTTCTAGGGTTCCATTTCAATTTTAGGCTTTTTTTTTTTTTTCCCATCATTCAAAGACTTCAAATTTTCTCTGTTATCAGAGACTTGAGACCTGTATTTTTTTATGTAGAAAATGTGAATTTTTTTGTTCTCTGCTCCGAAGCCCCTTTTACCCTTCTGAGTTAGTTATCCTGCATTGGTTCTCTTTATAACTCACAAGGTACAATTACTGGTATGTTTTATAAGCTGCAGCTACTGTACACACTCTCTGGTAATTTTGTTATGTTACTCTGATTTTTGTAAATATTAAGGGAAAAAATAAGCACCCCTGTTTTGCAAAACATTTGCACTTAATGTGGAACTATATCGATTACAGATGAAGACATTATTTTACAGCAAATTTATCAGTGCTTTTTTTTTTTCATATTCTCCCTCTTTTTATTTAAAGAATGATCAGAATACGATTTGAAAGTAAGTGGCTTGAGCTGCTTTCACAGAACAGCTTGGTATATTCAGTTGGCCCCCTCATCCAACTCTGGAAAAGGAGTTCCCTCAGACTTTTCACCCTGATGTGAACCAGCAGTAGTCTTGGTACTTTGTTGCCCATTTAGAATTAGTAATGAAGCTGGGAACTTAATCTCTTGCAGATGCTCTGCTGCTTTCCTAGAAAGTGCAAACTGCAGGAAGTTTTTTTATTATTTGCTCAGTTAAAACAAGAGCAGGACCTCAATTCAAAAAGTGCTATGTAATGACTTTTTTTTTTTAACCTAGGATATCTTCTGCTCAATTTCATTTTAGCCCTTCCCTGTTATCCCTTCTGTCTCCAAAATAATGAGCTTTTTTTTAAAAGAAATTATTTTTTAAATCTTTTTTTAGTATTTAGAAAAAAAAAATACCAGTTTGGATGTAACTGACCATAGCAGTTGACAAAAACTAAACCATAAAATTTTTGAACCAAGCGGAAGTCTTGTTTTTATCCATACTGTTAAACTAGCCCTGACTTTTGTTTTCTACTGTAAGCTGTCTGTTGTCCACAAAAAGAGGGTGATATTTTCCTGCCTTGTTTGTATGGGTTTTTATAAATAGGCTGATCTGGTATAAATGATGAGATGTACTGTAAACTGCATTTTTTATCTCATACCTGGGTAAGAAGACAAATCGATAATGTGCTATGAGCTGTTCTAATTGCAGGAGGACTGTGTTCCAGGGAGCAAACTGTCTCAAGAACATTTTTAATTTTTAAACACAATTCTTAATAGCAAATAAATTAAGGTGTTCCAGTATCTCTATATTGTATTTAACTGAAGGATATAGGTTGACCTGTTCAGAAAAACATAACTGTGACCTTGAGTTACTAGTTCTTTGTATCTGGAGAGGACACTTGAAAACACTGTTCTTAACAAACGGGATCGTGTAAAGGTTCCACCATGTAAATATTTCAGATATTAAAAATGTATATATTTGATTTAAGGGCTGACATTCTTTTGGAGTCTTGTGCAGCGTGCATTAACACTGCTTTCTGAATTGACAAATGTTCCCAAATTAGGGGTGGGGGCTTTTGAAACTACCTCCTGCTTTATACCAGGAGATTGAAGCCTACAAATACAGAGGTGATCCCAGTGTGTTCTTTCTCATTCCTGTAATACCACACACCACAAAATGTTCTTTTAACTTGAAGTGTAATGCTCAGATGTGACTTTTATGTTGTGCTTGAGTTTGTTGAGAATGTTTTGTTTTACGTATTTATATGCTGCAACCTTCCTCTTTTTTTTTTCTTGCAACTTGATGTTACCCTAAGGAACTACTTCCCCATTCTCCCCATGCCAGTTTGCATCACCATTTATCAAAAATTCTCCAAATTTTCAATAAATTAAACATTTTGCTGTTCGTAGTAAATACAGAGAAGAGGGAGAGTGAGAGTGCTTTTTGTCCTGCTAATAAGGCATTCTCTCTCTGTCATTACCAGTTAAACAAGCCATACACTACAAATGTAATGCCATTATGTGATAGATTGCCTAATGTCCTTCTTGAGATTCTTCAGTGAAAGCTCAAATTGTGAAATTTCAGCTTATTTTCTTCTGTCCTAAGCTAGAGCTGTATATTCATCTGTTATTTATGCATTGGAGATAAGCTTGTACCCTCCTTTCTTAAGGAGACTTCTGGGTGAAGAAGACATCTAAACTTTAAGCTGGAGTGTTAAATATCCAGGTAAATAAGTATATAGAAGCAGTTGTGACATTTAAAAAAAAAAAAATTGTGGAAGTTGAGGTTTTCTTCAGTAGTGGAAGGAGGAAGGAAAGTTCACTATAGCGTCTCTGGCTTGGCTTATGCAAGTACTTGGAACAAACCTTTCCTTTCCAGAATGCAAAATGTTGCTTTATAAAGTCAATTCTAGTGTCTCCCTCGTGCTCAAATTATCTTTACTGCTCCTCAGTGACAATGATGTAATCTGTGTCTGTGGTGCGGGAGGGCAGGACACAAATTAGGTGGTGCTGAGAGGTTCTTAATACAGAAAGTAACTTCCTTTTGTTAACTCTGTTTCAACACACAATTAACAGAATTATTTCAAGATACACTTGGAAAATTTGGGGTAGAACAAGCGTTTTTTTGTGAACATGACAACGTTTTAGTTGTCTGAAGTTGGGATTTAACACACGCTGTGTTAGGTCAGTGAATGCACAGCTCAGGAGCATACCGAGTGAGCTGCAGCACCAGGCACGGATGTTGCCACTGGGTGGTCAGTGCAGCATGCTGGGGTATGATCTGTTCTGGGATGGCAGAGTACTTCAGAAGTTACACGTATTGATATCCCCTGCCCCCAGTGCACTATTTATACAGCAGAGCTGCATATAGCAGTTGTTGATCTGAACCTCACTGTGGAATGAGGCTTTACACCTTAACACACGCCCTTAGTCTCCTGGTAATTGTTCTGTGTTGCTGCCATTCATAACTGCAGTGTTACGTGGAATATGAGCACAAACTAGAAAGCAGAATTGTGTTCATTAGTATGCGCTGAAAAGAAATGGGAAACTGAACAAGATCCATTATCAACTATGGTCTATTTTTATATTACTGTTAGTTTGAGAAAGAGACTTTTTTTTGTTGTTGTTGTTGTTCTTAGAGTCACATCGTATCAACTATGGTCTATTTTTATATTATTGTTAGTTTGAGAAAGAGACTTGTTGTTGTTGTTCTTAGAGTCACATCCTGATATGGTCTTTTTTATTTTGGGTGGTTCCTTATTCCCTTCTTTTTAATCAGAAGCCTGCACTAAAAATAACTGTCTAGCTCGATGATCATGGCTCTAAACATGGGCAGGGGAAAAGCCCCAAACAGTAAATTTAGTTTCTTATTGAATATCTGTTTTTTACTACTAATGCTTTCCAGCTACTGAGAGCAAAGCATTGAAAGTTTTATGCTTTCACTAAATGGAGTTTCTTAACAGCTGCTTGCAGGAGGAGTATTTTAGAAAGTGGACAGTATTGATCAATATTCCAGTAGGGTCACAGGATTTCATGTTCTGTACGTTTCCCTGTGCAGGAATGGGAGTGCACAGCCCTGCATGGGAGCAGGGTAAGGTGCCACCAATGGGTGTCTCGTCACGGACCAGACAGATGCCAGTAATGGAACAGAGACTAACAACTCGATGTCTGTGCTTGGGTTTATTGTTCTGGGGTTTTTTCCCTCTTAAAATAACAATGTTGTATTTGGTTAATGGTTAGGCATTTTTGGACTAAAAATGGCTTTTAAATACACTTCATGTGCACATGACCTATGGAAACTCAGTATTTATCAGAATGCTTATGAAAAACACATTTTTAGGTGGGTAGCACAATACTTTTGCGCTACCATAGATCTTCCTGTAGCAAAACACAACATCTGTTTTAAACATGTGGAATTACACAGTCCCTCTGAGATTTTACCTTTTATATATGTAGACTGATCACAGGTGTCATTGCATTTCCCATATGTCAGCAACCCAATTAGGTTACGCACTTCTAAAACGGAATTGTGGATTACTCTTCAAATACCACGGACAGCAAGGTAAGGTTCAAGATTGAAATTGCCTTGGTTTCTTCCACAAGGGAGTCACAGCTCTGCCAGAAGCTTCTTGAAAAGATGCCACAATAACTTTAATATTGTTTTGATTTTGAAGTGCCAAATATCAAGGGTTTGGGGTTTGTTTTTGTTTGTGTTTTGTTGTTTGTTT